CATCTCATCAAGATGAGCACAAGCGAGAGCTGGTCCGTAAATAGGGCTGAGCATGATGTGTGCCGCGCTTCGACGCCAGGATGGCATCATCATGGCCCCGTAGCGCTTTGATGTTTCGCCGCACACCAGCCACACCACATAACTGCGTAAGGTACACATACTTGTACACACACCCCAAGGCAGGGCGGCACCGAATGATGTGCGCACCCAGATCGGATGCCAAAGATCTAGCCCCCGGCCCCTCGTGCCTGTCTGTACCTGACTCGTCAGTGGCTTCGTTGCTATTCACAGGGCCAAGCCTAAAAACAGGCACATCCAAGCCGCTACGACGAGTATTTCGTGCACGGCCGTCCAGGCCTTGTGTTTGATTTGCGTCTACTTTTTGCTGGCTTGTACAGGGAAGCCCAATTCTTGGTGCGTCTGGTGCTTGGCACTCTGGAGCCGAGGCTCCGGTCTCATATTCACCCCATCAAACATGCCAACATTTGGCTGGTGGCCAGCATCGCAGGAAACCTCTCTCGGAGCACATGCTTGCCAAGCCTGTCGACATCTCCCGTCTCGTTGTGTCCGTCTTTCTATCTATATCATTCCTCACTGTATGTGATGGTACATGACCCGTGACCGATATAATCATCGACTCTGCCGTGAGGTTCATGTTTTTAGGGGTGTGAGAGTGCGGCGTCGGCGTAAGAGGAGCTCGCAGTCTTCCTTGCGCCTTGTTCTGCTCTACTCTTCCTTGTCGTCCCGCTCCACGCGGCTGACCATCCTCTTGCCGAACAGCAGGAACCCACCCGTGACCTTGCCGGCCACGTAGCCGGCGTACAAGCCGTAGAGAATGGTGACGGGCCACTTCTGCCACTCGCGGTCCCAGTCGAGAGGGATGGGGACGGCGCCGAGCCAGGCGCCGAAGAGCGCGCCGGCGAGGCCGCCAAAGGTCTCGTCCCAGGGGGCCATGGCCGAGCCGATGGCGAGCCAGGCGCTGGCCTCGACGCCGTGGACGTAGAACAGGGGGAAGAGGGCCAGGAGGGCGAGGTTCGTCGAAAGCAGGAGCGTGTGCGGGATGTGCGTGAGGAAGGGCGCGCCGAAGAGGACGAACGCGAGGTGGAGGGCGGGCGTGACGAGGGCCGTCATGAGGAGCGACAGGAAGAGGGCCTGGTGGACGGGTAGCATGGTTAGTACACATGTGCTGCGAGAGCAATGGGGACAGAGAGAAAGAGAGAGAGAGACTCACGATGACGGGGTTCGGCCCGCTGCCATCCTGCTTCTTCTTCTCGCCGGGCCTAGCCTTCCGCGCCGGCTTTGCATCTTGGCTGCCGGCGGCGGGGAGGCAGAGCGAGACGTAGGCCACCTGGACGGCGGCGACGATCGGCAGCGTTGTCACCAGCACGCGGACGGGATCGGTGACGAGGGCGTTGAATTGGCTCCCGAAGAGCGCCAGGAGGACGACGGGGTGGACGTAGCGGCCGGCCTGGCCAGCCGGCGTCTGCTGGATCGGAACGGGCTGCAGGGCGGCGGCGGCGGCGGTAGCCGTCGTGGGCTTGGTCGGCGTGGAGGCCATGGTCACGGGGTCTACCAATGGCATGGTGGTGGTGGTGGCGGAGGGCAGAGTTCCATGGACAGCGCTTTTGGGTCGGCTGCTGGTGAGGCAGAGCACGGCACACGATGTCCAGAACTCGTCGCGCTTTCATCAGGGTCCTCGCGATGGTCACATGGGGATAGCGATAAGGCAGCCCCTCCCTCGCCCGAGCGGCTCAGGTCCCGAGAATCAGCAACGAGAACAATCTCCGGCGCCCAGATGACGATGCACTAGACGACGGGCGGGAGACGTCTTCGTCCGGGATGGTGCCGATCCTCGTCCAAGAGAAATATTGTCAAGGTTCATTCATCAGGTGTATAACTTGTCAAGCAGGAGGTACTCTAGGTAAGTACCTAGGCAGGCTAGGTAGGTAAGGTAGGTAGGCACCTAGGGAGGCTCGTCGGGATAATCAGGGCCCCCATCATTGGCCAGGAACGTGCAGTGGTGAGACTCCCATTCGCCGAGAATCCAGACACCGAGGGCGGCCAATGAGGTGCGACTCGGCCGTCTCCGATCAGCCCATATGATGCCACCCGCACCACGAAAAGCGAACAAACCACACCACACGCAAGCTGACATCGTCAGGTCGACCGATTGCTCTCCCTGCCCTCTGCCTTTGCCTGAGCTTATTGCGGCCAGCTCGTCCAGATGCGTGCAGCTGGGCTGGTGTCGCTGTCGTATGTTACGGCTACGTATGACACGGCGACGGCAGGTGGGTGGCATGATCTGCGCTATTCGTGCGCGCCGGGTTCCTGACGACAACGGCAATGCCACGGGCAAAGTTGTCCACTATCTGCCCATCTTGACTTTGCGGCAAGGGGAAGCCGGCGCATTCAGGAACAGATCCCCAGATCCCGACCACACCGGCGGGAGATCGCACATGCCGTGTTCGTGATATAAGATGTGCCGTAGACTGGTGTGTTTGTTTGGACTGTCTCTGCTCTCATCATCACCAGCAACAGCTTCAGCTTCGACTCGAAACCAACAAACCAGCCTCTCCATTCAACCATTGTGTCTTGTTTTGACGACATCTCCACTCACAGTCAACTTTGAAGACCCCAAGTGTACACATCTTTGAGACCAACTCTCCTCACAAACACACAACTCCACCACACAAACATCACCACCAAACATCACCATGTCTGCCTTTGTCGCCCGCTCTGCCCTCCGCGCCACGCAGCGCAGGCAATTCTCCCTCCTCACCAACATGCGCAACATGGCCCGCACCTTTGAGCCTCATCCCTTCCAGAGGATGACGACCGCTCAAGCGGCGAAGCCAGACTACTCCAAGATGTTCAAGAACCGCGTCTTCAACGCTACCATGTATGTTTCCTTGGCCTCGTCTCGGGTCTCTTGACCACCTCGAAGCAGCTCGACTAACAAGTCTTCCAACAGCTATGTTCCCATGATGTGCGCCATGCTCGGCTGGCCCTACGCTGCCGCCATGATCGTGGACGGCCGCGTCTGAGCTGCTCTGTCGCGACAGTTTCGCATTGTCAAAGACGCCGGGAAGAGGAGAATAATACATTCATCTTCTTGCGATGGCCTGGGACAGCCAGGAACATGGCTGTTCATTTTTCTTTTTTTGTTGACACATGCAAAGCTACCGCTGAATACCACATTTGTACATACAGCAAACATTCTGCATAGAAGAAGGCGTTTAGGGATGGGAGCAGTCGCTCGATTTGGGATTCCGGATCAATCAATTTCCTTTAAAAAGAAGAAAAGCACATGCACCTGAAGCAATAATTCGGCAGTTGAGTTGTCGGGGCACATCATGGCAACTATAGAGGCGCCATCACTATAAAAAAAAGGGGCCGTGACTCGTGCACAGCATGGTTCCCCTTTGGGCTAGACCCCCAATTCGCGCCCCTGCAGCTTTCCCCAAGTGTCACCGCGTCGTGCCTGTCTGGAGCTCGCTCTCCTTGAAGTAATCTGAATGCCATTCCACCGACTTCGAACCCACCACAGACGACGGCCGTTGCCCTGCCTTGATACCTCACCGTCACCATCAGCGAAGCGTGTCTCCTTTTGTCCACTTTCGAGTCATCTGCGTGGCGCCAACTTGTGCTTTCGTCGACAAAGTCACACCACCCACCCCCATCTCGTACCTTGGCGAGACCCGACCGACCCTCCGATACCTTGCTTCACGAGCCAACCCAACAGAACACACACAAGACCTCGCACATCGACTCCGACCGACGACGTCTGCCAGAGCCCGCCGTCCCCTCCACAACAGAGGACCCAATCTACCCCCACGTAGGCGAGGCCGCCCCCGGTCTCCCATGCCTCGCGCGAGATGACCGACTCCCTCCACAACGCCCCCATCGTCCTCGACAATGGTTCGGGCACGATCCGCGCCGGTTTCGCGGGCGACGACCTGCCCAAGTGCTACTTCCCCTCCTTTGTCGGCCGCCCCAAGCACCTCCGCGTCCTCGCCGGCGCGCTCGAGGGCGAGGTCTTCATCGGCCAAAAGGCCGCCACGGAGCTGCGCGGCCTGCTCAAGATCCGCTACCCGCTCGAGCACGGCATCGTCACCGACTGGGACGACATGGAGAAGATCTGGGAGTACGTCTACGGCGAGGGCCTCAAGACGCTGAGCGAAGAGCACCCCGTCCTCCTGACCGAGCCGCCCCTCAACCCGCGCAGCAACCGCGACATTGCCGCCCAGATCCTCTTTGAGACGTTCAACGTGCCCGCCCTCCACACCTCCATCCAGGCCGTCCTCTCGCTCTACGCCTCGGGCCGCACCACCGGCATCGTCCTCGACTCGGGCGACGGCGTCTCCCACGCCGTCCCCGTCTACGAGGGCTTCGCCATGCCCAGCAGCATCCGCCGCATCGACGTCGCCGGCCGCGACGTCACCGAGTACATGCAGACCCTGCTGCGCAAGAGCGGCTACGTCTTCCACACGAGCGCCGAGAAGGAGGTCGTCCGCCTCATCAAGGAGTCCGTCACCTACGTCGCCCACGACCCGCGCAAGGAGGAGAAGGAGTGGATCCAGCGCTCCGGCGACCAGCCCAAGACGGCCGAGTACGTCCTGCCCGACGGCCACAAGCTCAAGGTGCGTGCGTGCTCTCGCCTTTCTCCTGCCCCTCTCGTGCCCTTGCCTTCCTCTCGTGCCTTGCCTTCCTCTCGTGCCTTGCCTTCCTCTCGTGCCTTGCCTTCCTCTCGTGCCTTGCCTTCCTCTCATGCCTAACCCACTGACCCATCGACGCAGATTGGCGCCGAGCGCTTCCGCGCGCCCGAGATCCTGTTCGACCCCGAGATCATCGGCCTCGAGTACCCCGGCGTCCACCAGATCGTCGTCGACGCCATCAACCGCACAGACCTCGACCTGAGGAAATCCCTCTACAGCAACATTGTCCTGTCCGGCGGCAGCACCCTGACCAAGGGCTTTGGCGATCGTCTGCTGACCGAGCTGCAACGGCTGGCCGTCAAGGACATGAGGATAAAGATCTTTGCGCCGCCCGAGCGCAAGTACTCTACCTGGATCGGCGGGAGCATCCTGGCTGGGCTGAGCACCTTCCGCAAGGTGAGTTTCTTCTTCCTCTTGTTCTTCTTCCTCTTGTTCTGCCCTTCGAATACTGACTGGCTAGATGTGGGTGAGCATCGACGACTGGCATGAGAACCCCGATATCATCCACACCAAGTTCACGTAGCCAGGTCCCCCATGACATGGCCGTTGAGTGCATGTCATCACGCAGGGCGCAAGGACGCGGCCGACGGGAGACTTATCATGAGAGACAGGCCAGATCTGCTGCTCTTGAGAATCACAAAATCCAGCGCAAGACCCGGGCCCATCAGAGATCTGCGCCAAACTCCGGCAAGGCGCTTCAGGAGGCCCCCTCCCACTGGATGATGTGGCGTCAGCAAGGTGCCGTCCATGACGTCGTTCGAGGTGTGTGTCGATGACGAAAGAGAGAGGAGGGCGCGATTTCACGGAGGAATGGTCATGATGGACGAGACATAACGTCATTGTAATTGGTCAGCGTAGACGTTGAAATGATACCCAAGTCTGCTGTCCACGCTGTCATGCCGATTGCGGTGAGCGATCCTAGGCAAGCCTCGTTGTACGTGCAGAAAGTCGTCACCTTCCGTAACGAACATGACGAGGCATCTCAAACTCGATTTTCAATCTCATCATACATGCTCACAAGCAGCTGTCAAGGTTCATGGTGCAAAAGAATTGACATTGGAAAATCAAATTCGTACATAAGACGTCCCTTGCGACGCGGTACCTACCGACATATTTCCTAGCTGTCGCCGTGCCTAAAAGAGAATCCAACCGGGGGGGAATCATAACCGACAGTTTGATCAAAGTCATAACAAAATAACCGAGTGTAAAGGAAGTGCCACATCTTGAAGCTACCCCTGATTAAACAGCATAGTTGCTTTCCAAAGGATCAACGATGAAGCCATCGCTGTTCGTGTACCCAGCAAGCAGAGCACTCCGGTACTCAATATTGTCGAGGCTGAAGTTCAGCTCGCTCGGTGCCGAGAGGTCCTCTCCGGAACTTAGGCTTTCCTCGCTCACGCTGAGCGTGCTAGGAGCAGGCGCACCGGATGTTCCAAAGTCTCCCAGATTGAAATTCGTCAGGTCCCACGAATCTGGTGACCAGCCACTGATGTTCGTCGAAGTGGGCGTAGATTCATTGATAGTCAGGCCGGGTCCACCGTAGATGGCATCGTAGACGTTGTTGAGGCCGCCATCCATGGAACCCAAGAGTGCTTCCCACTCAGATGCAGAAACACTTGAGGCTTTGTGTGGTACATGTTGAGGCCATTGTTGCTGGTCACGAGGCAAAGCCACTTGCTGCTGCTGCTGCTGCTGCTGCTGTTGTTGTTGTTGCTGCCGAGCACGTGTCGGCGACGATGGAGAGGAACCGTCCGAATTCGCGCCTAGTGCAAGGAAATCAAGATTCTGGCGCTTTGCGTGGACTCCAATTTCTTGGGACATGGAGTGGCGCTGGTCGCGTCGGATTCCGTTATCGTTTTGCAAGCTTTCGAATGATGAGCGAGACTGTGAGCGGTAGAGGTCAGGGCGTTGCAGGTTGGGTGCCGTGAGGCGGCGCATCCTCTCGTGATGACGTTGACGATCTGCTTCAACCGCCGACGAAATGCTGACACTCGCTGGCTTGGATTGGGAGCAAGAAGCCTTCTTCTTTGCGGCAGTTACCGGTGGCGATCCACGTTGCGTCGTCGAAGCGCGCGTAGCATCTGGATTCGGCGGCGGAGGGCTGGGCATAGCCGCCTCGTCGACCTGGACGAGCATGCCAGCGACACGCTTGAAGTCATACCAGCCAGGTGCCTTTGCCTGCGCAACAATCTTGATGACGGCGTTCACCATTTTCTCGACGTCCTTCATAAGCTTGCTCTCCTTCTTAAGCCCTACGCTCTGATACAATAGATGCATGCCGCTGAGGATGAGCGTGTCCGTTTTGTTAAGGCAGAAGGAGAAAGACATTCCTCGTTCTTCCAAGAGCTGCAAGATCTGGATGATGTGCTTGCTTGATTTGGCGGTGGAGATGAGTGCAGGCGCTGCCTTCTGACCCAGTGAAGAGCCAATGGCAGGGCGGTAGATCAGAATTCGAGTATAGTGGAAGGCGAGCGACAAAAGGGGCGACCTGCTGCCCGTGATCTCTGTCGAGGGCTTGTCTTGCGCAAACGTCAACTTGAGATGTGTTGGCAGAGAAGAGCACCACTCGTCGAGCTCAGCCTCCATGGCAGACATTTGTTGTAGAGACAGTTCATGTGTGGCAGCTGCGGGGTAATTCTTCTCCAGAACCTTGCCCAGAATTCGGGAGCACCGGAAGAGAGCCAAAGCGCTCGAAATCTTGGTATACTCTCCAGGAAGAGTGGGCTGGAAGCCTTTTTCAGTAACGTACTCGTCGTCCGTGTCAGACGGGTACTCGACGTGAATGTCTTCCTCTTTCAAAAGCTTTGGCAACCCGAGAATGGCACCAGAGAAACTGCGCGTGTCAATCAAAAAGCAACGAGGCAGCGGGAGATGTCGGGTCTTACCAATCTAGAGTATACAAGGTCCAGAACACCTTCTTGCGGGTCTCGATAGTCAGGGCGCCAAAAGAGAATCGCTTCTGGCTCTGATGCAAGCCAAGGCGGTGTGACAGGCCCACGGCAATGCCTTTGTAGTGCTGTAGACGTTTATAGTCCGCCCGTACGGTGCAGTAGATGAGTGCCAGTACGAGACATTGCAGAGTGGCCATGGAGTTCTCCATGAGCACTGTGTCGACCGCACCCTGCCATTGCTGCTCACAGGAGGCGATCTGATCTAAGTCTGGGTTCTCGCCAGAAAGGGCCGCAATGGCAAAGACCAGATGAAGCTGTGCAATCTTGTGGTTATTCTTAACCTTCTCAGGGTCGGCGACAAACTCCTCGTATACGCGCAAGAAGGTCGGCTTATGCAGCACGGGGAAGAGAGGTGCCCATTCTTGGAAGTAGACATTGACGCAGCGGTCAGAGAATAGCCTCGGGGGCACTCTCAGCCTCGAGCTCACGGGGTCAGGCACCAGCGGCGGACAGCCTTGCATGTGCAGGAATGCCTCAGGGTTGAAATCTGGACATGACTTTCCGCTCTCCTGGATTTTGCGCTTGAGACATTCTGACGGGTGTAAGTTTCAGAGACAAGTTGAACCACGAGGGGCAGAAGGAAGAGGGGTACGAGTCTCACCTATGAAGCCTCGGCCACTAGAGGGGCCCATGAAGTACGAATCCGAGTTTTCGACGCCAAGGAGTAAGGGTGACGCCTGCACCTTGAATGTATCTTCCTTGACAGGCGGTGTTGACTCTTTGCGCGATTCACATGGTGGAGAGGAGACTGTCGGGCCAATGGAGGGGCGACGGTTGCCATGCATCCTCGACAGCAAGTCGATCTTCTCATCCTTCTCGTCCAGCAGGTCCTTCAGTTCCCTGACCTCGTTCTCCAGCTGTCGCACTCGTTCCTCGAGGGATTCAGTGTAGCCTCTGGGGAACGCACGGCGACTCAGCTTATCGCTCGTGCGACACTCAAAGCCGACGTTGGCGCATTGAGAACAGGTCGGGCGAACACCATCACATCGAATCTTTTTGCTTCTGCAACGGTCGCAAGCTTGCGCTATACGGCTCTGGGCACTTGTTCCGACTTTGATGACTTTCATGGGTAGAATGCCGGGCATCGCGGCGGTTCTTCCTCGTGGGAGGGCGCTCGTTGAATTATTGGTCGTGATTGATTGCTTTCTGGAGTCTAAACTGTCGTGAGGCTGGCTTTGTGCCTTTGACTGGATCGTCGGGATTTTCCAGTCCAACTAGTCGGGGCGTGCGGCTAGCGTCCAGAATCTACAGGTCGTGTCACGCGGTGGGCGTATCGGGGCGTAAGCTGTCTGTCCAATGCGCGGGTGTTGCGGACCAAGTGCGTGCGTGTCGTTCTCTCTAGTCGATTCGAGTCGACTTGTAACAAATGGTGATCGTGTTCGCGGCTCAGTTCAGATTTTTTTTTTTTTGTTTCAAGATCGTGTCGTCCAGAGGAATATTACAGCGGAGTGGAGATTTTCAGTCGTGAGGGAAGGGGTGAGGAGGGGGGGGTATGTGTTGAGGGGAAAGAGTAAGAGAGGAGGTGGATGATGTCGACAAGACAAGGCGTGAAGAAGACCAGCGTGCGGTGAGTGGGCTGGGGTGGAGTTTAGGGGAGGACAGTGCCTTGGACCCGAAACCGGGGGGTGGGCGACTCAGCGGCCCTGCCGCGGACGCTGGAGCTAGCCCTGGTGCCGCGACTCAAAGGGAAGGAAGGCAGGCACACGACGCACTGTGCTGTAGGTAGGTAGGTACCTAGCGTGGGCAGGGGGAGGGGGGACTCCACAGGGACTTCCCGGCCTAGAAGGTCGAGCACGAAGAGAGGGGTGACCAGAAGAGCGGAATCTGGGGCAAGAAGGAGGAGAGCGCGGGGAGGATAGCCCCTTCTACTGCTGCCAATCATCACGGTACCATTGGCGGTCGATACCCCTGCTTCGTCACTGATGCCCCACCGAGGTGGTGTGCCGCTCCCAAGTGCAGACCGGGGGGAGGCGAATGGGGCCAACAAGGGACCACTGGCCAGTCACTTCTACTTGTGGTTACACGCAACCACGGAACGCACCCAGGGCACCCTCACGAGTCTCCTAGTTGTGCCTTCCCTGCAGCAACACGAAAGCAAGTGCAAGGTACCTAGGTAGGCAAGCGTAAGGCAGGGCGGTGCTTTCCCCTTCCCGTCTGCAGAACAAGCGTGTACATGTAGCGAGCTACATTTTTCGATTCCTGCACCAACATAATCCCCCAACATAAATTCTAAACCACCTGTTCGACGACCCTGGAACCCGGCCAGAGACCGTGCCGTCCTGCCGACTTTCCCACTGCTGCCCATGTCCCGCCAGAATACGAACGAAAGGCCCCAAGGAATTCGGCTGCCATCAGGTTGACACTTGATCACCAAACGAAGAAGCATGTCTGCCGAGCTTTGGCGAGGAAAAGGGTCGCTCCAGCCTCAAGCCATGGGTCGACAGCAAGGGACAAATGGCCCGCCCCACCGTCTCTGGAGGTGCCGGTGGTGGAAAAGTCCCAAGCTGCCCTAGGCCTCTTTCTCGATAATCCTGCTCGCTTCGTCAAGGCCCCGGTTCCCCATGTTTTCCCCAGCTTGGCTGTGAAGGTCTGACGAGGATCATCCTGCGATTTCATCAACAACAGCCAGCAGCCGGCGCGCCCAGAGACCGTAACCTTGGGGTAGTGTTGGTTCGTGTATTGGTGCATTCGAAATGGTTCTTCAGATCACTCGCCGAGTCGGCCGATCCCTGCTCCACGGCCTCTCACTATTCGCCTTGGCCGACGCATTTGTGCGGTCCTGTGGTCGACTGCCCGCGCATTGCGGTACGCTCTGTGCTTGGCCTGTATCGTGACGACGGCATGTCCCGACGCTGGCCCCCGACGTACATCTCGTGCTACCTGTTGCCGCTGCCATCATAATGACATAAGCGCTGGGCACATGTTCTTATAATGCTTGGCCTCTGCAAGAGATTCGTGCCACGACATCCGTCTCTGTGATCCGCCTAGGATCCCGACAGTCTGGCTCTCTCATCATCATTATCAGCCCGTACTGGTTTTTCATTCTGAAGACGTCAAGAATCGAGGCGCAACAATGCTTCCAAATGAATCCTTCGGTGCTGGCGCTAAGGAGATGGGCTGCCACCATGTTCGAGGCGGATTGATTCCCCAGTGCGCCACAGAAGCCAAGCTTCCACGGAAAAGAAGAGGTGATACTCAGCTGCTGCCCAAGAACAGTTGAGTCACGATTTCTGTTGTTCTTCGAATATTGTTCTAGCTTCATTGATCTTACCATGTACAACATGGCGCAGCAATGCGTCTGAGGACTTGACTCGAAAATCGTTGCCTACAATGCTTGCTGACCGGAATGGACACGATCGCCAGACGTTGGGACTGTGTGCGGTAAGAGTGCCCAAGTGCTAGAGTGGCCTCTTCAGGTCAGTAGGTTCCCCGCACATCGTTCCCCGAAATGAACACGCGATGCAACATGATCACCTTGGCAAATTTTGGGCAAATAAGGAGCTAGGCGGCGACCCAGCATTGATCTACGAAAAACGTCAGTAAGAGGTCATTGCCCCAAGCGGAAGAAGCCAGAAAGCTGTGCGTGAAGAAGCTTGATAGTTTTGACGGCTTGGATCTCGGAGTGAAAGGATATCGAGTAGACGTATTGTGCAACTATCTCGGGCATCTCCATCACCAGGAGACGGTCATCCAGTACTGACTCGCCGCCGGAGAGTCATTTGGGAGTAGTCGGAATACCGTACGATTGAACGGAAGCAGGGCTGCCTGGGGACCCCAGTCCCCATCGCCATGCCGCCAGTGAAGCTTCCACCCTATCCGAGACGCATCATGCCACTCCAGAACCCAAACTGATATTGGCATTCCGGAAGCCACGGCGCAAATGCACTCGCCGCTCCAGATTTCAGCCTCTGTCTGGGGGGGGCGAAGCGAGTACATGTATGCCCGTGATCGTCCCGTGCACATGGCGTTCCGTCCATCAACTGAAGTCGTCGCTGTCATTGGACGCCGTTTCTTCCACTTGTTCGTTTTGGGAAATTTCCATCGATCCGAGATACGCCAGTACCGAATCGTCAGCGAGAAGCTCGCCTCTCTGTGCACTGTCAGCTGTGGCGGTCCAATCACTGCGGCCCAAGTTTTCTCATCCTGATCCTCTTGTCGCAAGGGTGGGCAAAAGAGGCCTCGACGACTTTTGGCAGGAACGGTGCTGGGAATAGGAATAGTTGGGAAAGTAAATATCAGAAAGACAGTGATACGTCTGACACGAGGGAAAAGGCCATCGCAGCGGTATATTCGCGGAACAGGACGCTCGGGCGATGTTGGGGAAGATGCGGGGGAGGGAAAAGTAGCAGCAGGACGTACCTCTGCTTCGAGGGCTCGCGCAGCCGCCTGCAAAACACTAGCCTCTTGTTCCCTCAGAGTGGTGGCGGCATCAAGACACCCAGTGTGAATGCTGTGTGACTGGCCCGGTGGTGCGTCGCGGGGGTCGCCCTCGATCGTCTGCATGCGTTCGAGCTGCGAAGCCACGCGGGCCTCGAGGACGGCCACGACGCGTAGTCTGAAGATGTTGTACTGCGGATGGTCACGGACCAGCGTCTCCCAATCGTCTGCCCGCGCCGTCACATCGCTGTCCTGCCAGAAGACCCCTAGGTCCCGACCTCCTCCGACGTCCTGCAGGATCGCGAACGCCAGGCCGTCCTCCTCGTTGAGACAGGCGAGCCACGCGAACGGGCTCGTCCACGCCACGGCACCGCCGCTCGTCCGGGTGAGCTCGACAGTCCTCGGCCCGCCAAAGCTGTGGACCTTTGCCTTGCCCAGAGGGTCGTCCTCGAGGGGCGCCAGCGGCAAGGCGACCGTGTCGGTGGATCGCGCGGGGTCGATGAAGCCGTAGCTGAAGAGCATCTCTGCCCCCGATTTCCCCGCGCCGTACGATATCGTCACCTCGTCCCCCGCAGCGAGCGTGCTGCCGGGCCGCAGCCGCAGCTCGACGTCGCCCTCGCGCCGCGCGCTCTCCTCGTAGTACGCGCTGGGCGCGGGGGCGTGGTTCGCCAGGTCGAGCACGGGGACCATGGACACGCCGGCGCTGGGCAGCTCCAGGCTGCGCGAGCGGTACCATGCGTCGACGAGGAACCAATCGGCCAGGCTGACGTTGTTCGTGTCCCAGAAGATGGCGTGCCAGAAGGGGAGATCGGACGATTTCTCTCGTAGGGCCTCAAACTCGCTGGTCAGGGCCTGGATCTTGGCGCTCACGGCAAGCTGGAGCGGGTCAGAGGATGTTTGATCGGCCAGACAGATCAGGGCGAAAGGAGGACGAGGTCGTGTGTAACATCAAGTGGGCACGAGAAGAGGGCAACGTTCACCACGTACCTCTAAAGACGTCCCCTGAAGGAGCTCCCGCTCTTGCTCCGACCACATGGTCGGGACGGGGACTTCACGGGGCAAGAACTTGACGTACTCTGTCCATGGCGTTGAAACGAGGCCGGACTGCGGATGAGCGGCCAAGACCTTCTGCACCAGGAGGAACAGACAGGCGTCTCCTCTGGTAGACTGCAGCCCTATATCAGCCGGTTTGCCAGAGCCAGCGACGAGTCGCGGGGACCGGGGTTCGCGCAACGCACCTTGCGGCCCACAGCATCCAGCAGGACGCGGAAGTGTCCATCGACCTTGGCGTGATCGTCAACGGCTTCTTTGGACAAGACCAGTCCACGTGGGATCCTTGCCAATGCTGGTGAGTCCAGGGCCTCCTCGGCGCGGCTCAGAGCGCGGGCGGCAACGAAGCCGAATCCACTTTGGGGGATCTCCTTTGGAATGACATCGATGAGGTCGACATTGTTCAAACGATTCCAAGCGGGGAGCGAGGCCGTGATGTCGAGATGAGGGTCCGGCATGATGCTTCCAGGAGATGTGATGGCGTTTATGATATGGGTGAGAAAGCCCGATGCGTGGGTAGGCACGGAGACTGATTTCCGGGTACCTCGCCCCGTTGACCTGTCGGGTCGGCGTTACCGGCTAGATGCCAATGCCAGGATAAATCGTCGCGGACGGAAAGAATACGGTACTGCACTCGTAGCTCACGTCGTCGTTGTTTCTGCTATTGTTAGAACAAAATGTGCAAAAGCAACCAACAGCGGGCAGTTGTTATACAGCTTGAGTGAGCCCTGGTGCGAAGCTGTCGAAAAATGGCAAAAGTGGAGCCGCCGCGGATTGAACACGGGACCTTCTGTAAATTCGAATGAATGCAAAACAGACGCGCTACCACTGCGCCACGACCCCTGTATGAGGTACTCACCATCAAGCATTAGCTGATATATCTAATCAAAAACATACTATCCATCGCGTTACCACAAGACTTCGCTTTTGAAGGACGACTACGAATTCGTGGGGCTTTCCACTCTTGTTGCGGTCCTTCAGTTACAGCGTCATGTCCAGATATCAACAGCACACGACGCCCAATCTGGGACTCGCCTGTTCGAGGGTTGTTGCAGCCTGCCACGGCGCGCTGAGCATGCTTTTCAGGAACACGCAAGCACGCAACCCATGTGATTGGAGCGCATGAACTGCAAATACGAGCTCGAAAGCTGCCGTCCGCAAGTCTACGTCCAGTTGATGGCGGACCTCGTAGGGTGAAGGCGAGTCGATGACTTGAGGGGAAGAACCGCATGCCAGCCAATGACACGGCATGGAGCCCCGAGCTCGCGCGGAGTGACCACCGATCGACCACAAGCTTCCGAGCCTCAGTGTATCCGTCCGGACCGTCGGACGGGCCTTTTGTTCATATAGCTCGAGGCTCCTCATTGCTATTATTTCCCAGGCCGTACCTGGTCATTGGCAAGCCGCTCTTGCGTATCCAACAACCTCCGCCTACATCCCAGATTTCCACAACGTCGCCAACATGGCGAACAACAATCTGCAAACACCGCACCTCGTCGACACCGAATGGTCGAAGCAGCTCATCGTCAAGGGAAAGCCCTTTCTCATACGAGGGGGCGAGCTGCAGAACTCCTCGCTCACCTCCGCCGAGTACATGAACACTGTCTGGCAGCAGATGGTCGACACGAACGTCAACACGCTGCTGGGCTGCGTGACATGGGAAGACATCGAGCCCGAAGAGGACAGGTTTGACTTTGCGGAACTGGACAGCGTGATTGAAGGTGCCCGCAAGCACAGTCTGCATCTGATCCTGCTGTGGTTCGGGTCGTTCAAAAACGGTGCGTGGGCTGTCCGTGTTTCGCTGGCAGAGAGTGCTACTTACACCACATGTCCGCAGGTCTTTCCACGTACACCCCCGGATGGGTCAAGACGAATGCAAGGCGCTTCCCTCGCGCCAAGCTGAGGAAGGCCGGCGGACGCCTATGCACAGCTGATGTCGTTTCCATCTTCCACCCCGAAGTGCGCCGGGCGGACGCCAGGGCCTTCGGGACGTTGATGTCTCACTTGAAAGCGTTTGATGAGGCCCACTCGACCGTCATCATGGTCCAGGTCGAGAACGAGACAGGCCTGCTCGGCGACTCGAGGGACGGATCTGACGTCGCCAACGAGGCCTTCGGCAAGGCTGTTCCTCAGGACCTTGTCCAACATCTCGTATCGGACTGGGACAACCTGCACGCGGACATGAAGACGATGAACCTGAGCCACTTTGACCCCAAATCAGTGCCGGAAGACGGCAACTGGGAAACAATCTTTGGCACCAGCCCACGTACGGATGAGCTCTTCATGGCATACCACTATGCCAAGTATCTCAACGACGTGGCAGCGGCCGGCAAGGCCGAATACGACATACCCCTATACACAAACGTGTGGCTGAACTATGCCGGCGAGGATTCGGACAACGATTTCCCCATCGTCGTTGGCGGAGGCGGTTCCCCCGGCGACTACCCATCAGGCGGCGCGTGCTCCAACGTGTTGGACATCTGGATCAAGTTTGCGCCGCGCCTCGACTTCATCGCACCCGACGTCTACCTCACCGATTACGCAAGCTCATGCGAAAAGTATCGCCACCGAAACCAGCCCCTCTTCATCCCTGAGCAGCGGCGCGACGACTACGGGGCGCGCCGTATCTGGGCCGCCTACGGTACTTTTGCTGCCATGGGCGTTTCGCCTTTTGGCATCGACACGCTCGAGCCTGGCACGAACCCCTTCACCAAGCATTTTGGCCTCCTCAAGTCGACTTCGGCCATTGTGCTTGATGCCCAGCGTCGCCGGGACACCTCGGTGGGCTTCTTTTTCGACGAGATCCCCTCGGCTCCAAATGCAAAAGACACGAGCCCCCTTGTACGCCGCACATGGGGCGGATTCCACATCACTATTGAACGGGCCTTCGTCTTCGGCAAACCTGGCCCCGGCGCCGGCATGGTCATCCATCGCGGCGGTGGGAAGTTTCTGCTCATTGGCTGGGGTTTTCAGGTGTCGGCCAAGGCTGGGGCCGAGGACAGCGTATTCACCGGAATCCTGCGATTCGAGGAGAAGAAGATTGTCAACGAGGCAACGGGTCAGCTCAAGACGGCGCGGGTGCTGAACGGGGATGAGACGAGGAGCGGACAAGTGGCACTGATGCCCAACGAGGATCCAGACTATGGCGGGTTCCCCATCTGCGTGACCATCCCAGCGAGGACCATGATCGCAGAAGTCCAATTCTACTCCCTGACCGAATAACAGAGCAGGGTCAGGGAACGTGTCAGGACACGGTGTATCATTTGTCAAGATGAGCCAAGCCAGGCCCGACATCGCCTGTTTGGATGTTATCGAATATGCACGAAAACCCATCAAAGGTTCCCGCTTCAGGTTCTCATATGGCAATCGCCTTTCCCACGTGGTGGCTGGTGATGCTCTGATACCTTGAGTGGTCATGCTAGGTTGCCAGGAGTGGCCAAATCGACAGCCGCGATAATTCTGCGCTTAGCTCTCAGTCAGCACCCTCGACGCGTACAAACTGCCTCATTTCTCTCTCCTGTAGCCTTCAGTTAGCCATCCGAGGTCTCCTGTCTGACTTCCCGTCTTAACAAACTGTGACAATCAGGCGCGAATGAAGCCTGCGCCAAGCCAACCATCCATCCAGTCAGCTTCCCCAGGCCTCCTAGTCGAATGGTGCAAGGCCAAGTCGGAAGAAAACGAGGAGAGAGAGAGATACAATCCTCGGTTCACGCATCCTCACGTCTGCGGGTCATATCGACCCCCTGGCCAGCACGTCTCGAGCCTGTGGGTGACGCGCTTCACTGATGAAGCGCTTCGCAGACACGCACAATCGATAGCTCCGCATCGAAGCAACTGTCAAGGCCCGTGGCATACGAGACGCCACACTATGAGGAGTGAGGTGAAGTGCTATTGGATGTGTCATGCCTATTATATCGGTGTGAGTCACAAGGCGCCATGCCGAACACAGGACAGGGGCTGAGGTAGGATGATGGCTGGTCCAAGCCTACCCAACTTATGCCAAATCCGCGAGACCGTGATAGACCGTGATATGCCTGACAATCAAACGGCATCCTACCACTGAGGCCAGGTCCTTATCTGGTACTCGTCAAAGCAGTTTGTTGCGGAACGCAGCACTTGAAGGAATCATCGCATCTCAGATTTCGGTATGGATAGCGCAGGTGGTCTGCGTCGTGCGTGTGAATTGGTTGCCAAGGCTAGCTATACATCTCTCGACTATAGCTTCATCGCTCGTGCACAAATGCAGCCGCGTCATGGCTGTTAACTCTCTGCTCGTTATCAGTGTTTTGTCTTTCCCTAGGTCCGCACAGCATCATTGCGTTTTTTGCTGTTTGATGGTTGCCAGAGTTGCCTCTGCCAATTGTCGCTTTTCAACGGCCTCAGGCGTGTCATGCGTAACACGCAGGTCGTTGGCCCTGGAGCGTCCGCCATTTCGGGAAAAGAACCTCCAGGGCTGACTCGCTGTCCCTTCTCCAGCTTCATGCCGTTCGAAGAATTTCGTCTCGCAGCACTGTACATAGTTTCGTTTCATTTGCCTCCACCACCATAGCTCCGTCACCGTGAAACCAACAAGAAATCAAAACGAAAAACAAGAATTACTCCCTCTTTCTTCTCCCCTTGTGATCGTACAGAAGCGAGAGCGACATGCATGCTGAAACCACCACACCGCCGCCAACCATGTTCCCGGCTCCTGAAGATGCATAATTACCACGTTTTGTCCTGCCTCTGACGCCATGCAAGTCGTCGATGAGCTGGGTCGGACTTTGTCAAGGAGGGGTATCATATGCTCCTTTCCGTTCCTGCCCGAGTTCGTTCGGTACAAAAAAAAAAAGCAAAGACGTTGTACACCAGGTGTATCAAGTTTTGGTGTGCGAATCAAGAAAAAAAAAGCTGGCAAGTCCATGACATTGGAGACAAACCAATCCGTTTTTTTTTTGTTTTAGTTAAGGATGCCCTCCCACATGCCGGGGCCACGGTAGCCACCGAGGGCGAAATGAGAGTTCGTGGCAACCGAACTGCGGGCTGCTTCGGTAGCGCAACACACGCGCTTCCTCGGCGAGCCGCGTTCCGCCGAGGCCTCAGGGACCACGTCCGTATGAGATCTGTTCAATGAGTTTGACCAAGTGAGTTCCGAACGAGCCAGCATCTCGCGGACATTTTCCTGGAGCGAGGACTTCTCGAGAAGGTCCCTGCTTCGCTTGCGCGACAAGCATCCGGTGGGGGTGGCAACCACAGGGTACTGATAGCCTTGAAGTGCCTGCAGAGCCCTGGCAGCATCATTTTCCGAACTGCAGCTCATAGCCTCCAGTGCCATGCCCTCGAGCTTGCCGACAGGGCCGTTGTAGGACTCCTGCGAGGACGGCAGGTAGTTGTCTTCAAAATCTTCTGGAACAGATGTGATTGCAGGCCTCGAACTCAGTCTCTCACAGCTTAGCTTCGCGCTGCGGAATCGCGCCGAAACGCCCATTTTCTGGGCTGGCGCGCTAGCGAGCGACGATGCAGAGGATATGGAAGACGAGCGTGAGGCCCGAGAAGAATCAGACACCATGGATTCTGGAGATGAAGCAGTGGACACCGAGGTGGCCAGGGAAGTGCGGCGGACGGGGAAAGCAACGTGCGGAGAGGAAGTGACGGGAACTTGCCACCTGTCGAGGTTCTGAGCTGCGCAGGCGTTTGAGGCTTGAGCCATGGCCAGACCCATCGCCGAGCCCCTGCCCAGGAGACAGGACGCAGCACTCACGGCAGGAGTGCTTTGTCCAGTCAGCTGGGGGGTCATGCGAGGCGTGGGCAGGAGACCAAGCGCAGGGACATAGCGACCAGGCGTATACGTGGAAGCGGGCACGGGCTCCATCGTGTGGGGGGCGACGTAGGATCGAGGAGTAGGGGTCGCATCAGCAGAGCTTGTAGCCGATTGACTTTGGATCGGTGCGTCGCATGGGGTAGACGGCATGTTGCAACCCGAGGGCGCCGCGTGCTCTCGCGACTTGAGCTTGAGCGATGCCGCGGGGAAGAGCCCGCCGATATTGTCGAGGCCGGGGTTCAGGAGGAGAATGACCTTCTTCCAGTTGGCGCTCTGCTGGGCGTAGAGAGGTCCGGAAGGTGAGCCTGGGGGTGGCGGGGATGGAGGCGTGTACTTCAGGACGATATCGGTCCAGCGCTGGAAAACGTCATCGGTGATGTGAAGCTCCCAGTTGACGGCAAAGATGAAAGCCAACTCGTTCTGATTGATCTCGTTTGTTGCAAGACCGGAGATTTTGCTCCAGGCACGGGCGGAATAGTTGCGGTCTTGAAGGTACTTGGACGCGAGAATCAGAGCAGCGAGAAACATGCGGCGGCCGCACTGGAGAGCACGACACTCATGACGGTCGTCCGGCTGTTCCATGGTGAAGTCGTGCTTGGGGACATGGGGCTTGATCAGGATGAGATAGTACAGGGCGACTTGGAGCGTGGAGTAGCTGGTGCGCGATCTGCGGAGCGTCTCCTGGATGAAGGTGCGCAGGGGCAGAACGGCCTTGCCGCCGATATCATTGTGGCAGATGACCGACGAAAGTGGCCAGATGGCTTCGACGATCTGTGTAGAGGAATCTGGAATGGACACAAAAAGTCTAAGTATGGGGTCACAGAAGATCATAATCAGTAACGGTTGCTTACCAACAAGTGTGTCCACAAAGTTGACTTTGCGGTCGCTTTGGCGGACGAGTGCGGGGGGTGCTCTAGAACCGGAGCCGTTGGATCGCCGGGGGTTCTGGCGCAGCTCGGCCGGGATAGCAGGTGGTGCTTGGTCGCACGCAACGGAGCGGCGTGTGGAGGGATACGCGTCGCATGAGTCCGAGTCGGAAGAGGTGTTGGGAGAAGTATCGGTGGAGGACTGCGACGACGCCGCAGACCAGGCCCGAGCGGACGAGGCGGAGCAGGCGGAGTCGAGGGAGGAGCTGTAAGAGTTGTTGAGGTAGGAGGAGGAAGAGGTTATGAAGGCCGACGAATCATTATCGAAGCACTTCATTTTCGATCGAGGTGAGCGCAGGAGGGGGTGGGGGGAGCGTTGAGGTCGGATTCGAAGAAGACTGGTAAAGTTTGAGCGCAAGCAGCACCTCCAGTCGTCGTCAAGCGTTCGACCGATTTGAAACCGTGGTTGCCGTGTGTCGTAATACCGAGGGGGGGATGCGGGTCGTGCAGTAGCGCGTGAATGCTGCTGCAGGATCCAAGACGAGTTGGTATGGAGCGAAAGCTTTAGACGCGAGAGTCTGTGGCAGACGAGACACGGAGGATCAAACCGGAAGAGACGAGGCGGACGACTGGAGTGGTGAAAGTAGTTGTGTCAAACAGCATGACTGGCGATTCCCCAAAACCGTAAAGCGGGTTGAAGGAGAGGGCTGATTATATGGGTGCTACTGCAGAGCGACCATATGATCAGAGGCGGAGGGGTGAGAGTTGTTGGTGGAGGAGTGGTTGATGGCGAGGACGTCGACGATAGAGGGCTGGAGGTGGAGGGCGACGACGACGTTGAGCGACGTATATGCAAGTCACGATCAGGGTGTGGCTGATGGTTGCGAGCGCGACTTTATCTGAGCAGGTGAGTCGAGATGTGACTCTTCCTTTTGTCGGCCGCGTGCTTTGCTTAACGTGGCCAGAGGGGCGAAGGCAGGAAGGCAAATGGCGACAAGGCCAGCTGGGTTGGCGTGTGACGAAGTCGGAGCCTGGGGGGGGGGTTGTCCCAAGTGTTGGGGTCTCGGGCCTTAGGCTGGTCCAGTGAGGTGTTGGATGACTCTTTCCGGGGGGGTCGAGTGGCAAAGGAGTCAGGCAGCCAACTCCGAGAAATGCCGGCGACGAGACGATGGTGACAGCTGGGAGGGAGCTGGCAGGGAGTGTGGTGGGGTGGCGAGAGGTGCGATCGCGGAGAGTGACGGAAAACCAAAGGGGGCGAATGAGGGATGGAGGGTGAGGGTGTGACTAAGAGATGATGCTGTGCCTGGTCAAAGCGCTGGGGGTGAAAGAAACGGTGCAAGCGTCGTCTGATTGCACTTTGGGGGAAGGGGCGAGGCAAGGCCAAGCTTCCAATCCTGGAGTGGCGGAGGGGGGGAGAGCCCGGGCGAGGCGAAGAAAAAAGACCACGGAGAACCCGGCCTGGGGTGTAGTTGTCTTGTCGTGTCGGTTTCGGCTCAACGCGGTGAGTTGCGTCAGGCAATGAGTGAGTGGCTGTGGATGACAAGGACAGCACAGACGAGTCTCGGGGTTTTTCGCAAGGAACAAGTGAATGCCGCTGCGAAGGATGTACCGAGAAGTTGCTTGGGCTGTGCCGTGTCGAGTCGTCAGGTTTGGGTGTCAAGTCGTGTTGTTCTGGGCCAGTTCGCGAGAGAAGTGGGCAGGTATAACGTGACCGGATGACTGTGTCTGTGCCTGTGACTGTGTTCGGAACACACAAGTGACGTGACAGAGATGAGAGAGAGATGGAGGGACGGATTAGGCAAACAAAAGGCAGGAGTGGAGATGTCCGATGTTCCTCTTGACCTCTGTTGAGAGAAGGAGAAGAAAAAGGACTCCGATGTGCAGACTTCAACAAGTCGCTATCGACCTAGATCTTGGAATCGAACATGGCGGCGGCTGTGATCGATGAAGAGGAAAAGGGAGGGGACGAGACAGCAGGCAAAACCATCACGCGTGGGTGGGTGGTTGACTCGTTTTGAAGGGCGCTATCCTAAGGCATCGACTTAGCACGGCTGCAGCAGTTTCGGGTTGTATGTGCTTCGCGGGCTCTGGCAAATGCTCTTGACAGCGACACACCTCCAACCTCCAAGGCGAGGGGGGGGGAAGTTGAGGGGTTTTGAGGGGGGACAGGATGAATGGGTATTTGTGTGGGCGGTCTCGAGCGCCATCCCATTGGCCGTCCGGCTCACACTTGCAGATTGTGCTCCATAGTTTGATCCACCTTGCACACCACTCGACACAGGAGTGGTTGACGAGTGGTCACAGCTGCAGACCTGCTCCTGTTTCTTCCCCCCCCCCCTCGCATTTTCCCCCTTGTCCCCTTCTGCCACACTCTGGCGCCTGGCCCCTTACGCCCAAGTCCTGTTGCTGTCGGCAAGCCCCATTTCGATCCAACAGTGCCTCCATCTCCAGATGACAGCCACGTCTGTACAGTCCTGACTCTTTTCCACTGACTTTTTGGAACGGCAAACAGGCAAACAGACAGTCGCTCTGTATCGTTCATCGTGACGGGGTCCAGTGACCCGTCTTCTTTCGAGCCTGCTCAGCTGTTCTGTTCATTCTGTGCTGAAAGGACCGGCTTTCGGATCCCGTCTCGTCTTGATGCGCCATGGGTACTCGAGACATCCGAGCCCATCCGCGACGGGCCCGACGGCTGCACGCTTCGGGCAGTCCGTCACTCCGGCTGGTGTACCTAGGTACTGTAGTCATGAGGCCTAGCCTCACGGTCGTGGCAGGGCAATGTCTATCTTCGATTTCGAGCTCCCAAGTGCCTTGCGGTCGATAGGCCTACCATGTACTACCAAATGCCAGCCTTCTTCTTGAATGCAGCATCTACCTGTATCCCGCAGCACGAGCATCTTGTTGCCTGGAGACGATGCGTGGCACCGGCCAGGACTAGTCTAATCGATTCGCCAATACGTGGCCAGGCTCGTAGACCACCCACCCGGGCCATCCAGTCGAGCCATGCCAGGCCACCCACCTCCACGACTACCTCTACCTACCTATGTTAGTGTCAGTGTGTTCGACGAGGTGCGTCAACCACGACCGGATGGTCCGGCTGCTGCCAATGAAAGGAGACGCTTTCCAATCCTGCAATTACGCCGTATTGGTAAGAACACCTTGCCTTTCTGAGCCAAGACGGCCGTCGCTTCATCCATCGTATCCATCTCGCCACGAAAGGGGCCTTCGTTTTTTCGGAGTACGGACTCATGGCAGGCAATGAGCGGTGTAACACAGCTGCATGTCCAAAGACGCTCGACGTGCTTCTTCATGACCGATATCCTGACGATGATGGATCGGCGTGGGCCCATCAAGGCTTTATTACGAAGCACTCCGCCTCTTGTATGAATCAACGTGACCGCCGAGGCTGGGTCTGCGGCGATGCCTGACGGACGACCTGCACTCGTTTTGGGCGGGGAGGCTGACGGCTGGGCCGATGATGCCAAGGTGCATGTCCCAAGGCTTCCTTTCCTAGGGACATACCTAGGCAGTGAGAGAGTGAGAGAGGAGAGAGGAGAGAGGAGAGACTGGCGGGGATCTTACACTGGCTTGACTGGCAACAGCGACTCCCGAAACGCAGGCGATCGGGCGTGCACCACCCTTGACCCTCCTCCCCACTGGCGGTCTCCGCTTCACCCACTGAAAGCGCATCGTCAGCCACACGGAGAGCCGGAGTCTTTCCCATGGTCATCACTTGGGCAAATGCCATTTTTGACTCATTCGCCGGGCGCTTGTGCCATCGTCCATGCACTTGCGAAACCCTCGACTGCTTCCGGCTCACGGCTCACGGAAACAAAGCCCCAGCACGATGCCAGGTCTCCTCCCTCAGGTCTCCTGCCCTCCTCATTGAAACGATGTGGTGTCGAGGCTGCCCGCCATCGCTGGCAGTATGACTCCACCGCGTCACTGAGACCCGCCAGCGCCCAACCCAACAAGCGAGGACGAATGTGAAGGCCTCATAGCAAGGAAGCTGCAGCTGCAGGAATTTTGCAGCTCAGAACTATCGCCATGTCACACACTCGCCGAACCAGCCCCGCTCCGCTCCGCGTCAGCATCTGATTGGCCGCCGCCCTGTTCAACGACGATAGGGATTCAAGATGATGCAGGCATTCCTATCATCGTCTCATCACGACGCCTCGGATCTTGCGCCACGGCGGCAGAGGACCGGTTACATGCTGCTCGCGGACATGATGCAATTCTCGCTGGAAGACAGCTTGGGAACACCGACCTCGGCACTGAGTGCGTGCCCCATGGATTGTCCGAGTCGTTCCAGGCTGTGCTGGCGACCTTGCTAGCCTCGAGGGGAAGATCTATCGACACCGGGCCAATGAACGTCTTCCAACAGCAGACGGGCTGGAAAGATGACTCAACGCAAGACGAGCCCATTAACGACCTGACTGACCTGTGTGACCATCTTCACCCTCCACGTGAAGCATCGTCTTTAGGCAGCACCCGCTTCACGGCCTTTATCCTTCGTCTTCGGGTCGAGGCTGCACCCGTTACGCACGTCTACCTTCCCACATCTCTGTTCTGGGACCCATCAGTTCGAAAAGTTGTGCAGAACGAACCTCACAAAGCCCAGCCTCGGTGACTTGTTCGGCAGGACACCCATTATGCTTTGACGGGTTACTCCTGCGTGGCTCAGCCCCTTTGGGTGCGCCACATTTGTCCTCTTGGCAGGCAGCCTCAGCTTCGTGCCCAGATCGCAGCTGACCCGTGGGACAAGTACAGTCCGCCACCAGAGACCGATGCATATGAGCATACATCCGACATGCTGGGATGTCCTCGAAGGTTTTTGGACCCAGCATCTGGCTGCGTTGCCTGGGGCGTTGCTGCCTGGCCAAGCATGACGGGCCACCCCTGCACAGATATTGCCAGATCCTCCTTTCTAGAATGCTTCTTTATGAAAGTGGTGATGAAGGTTCGGCTACGCCACAGCTGCCCTCTGTTGGATTGCATTGGGCGGGGCTCGCTTGGAAACTCCATCCGCGCCATGCAACACGCTGACATGTTTATCATCTGTGTCATTTTGCCTCGAGGTCCGGCGGGCGCGAGTGACGCGCCAGCTCGTACCTGACAGCTGACGTGTGACTTGCCAATAGTTCATGCCGTCAGGATCCTCAATGTCAGCAGATCGGTCGCGAAGAGAGGTCATGGAAGTGAATAATCAAAGCTTTGATCAAAAGCGAAAAACCAAAGCGAGGAATCGGCCGCGCGTGGCCAGAGTTTGGAGAACGTACATGGCTGTAGCTTGCCAGCACCCCGTCTCCTACCTCTGGCAAGTGTGCGAACATGTGAGGTCTTCATGTCGAATCCTTTTTCAATGCTTGGCTAGTCTTTCTGTCAGATAGCCTCAACTTTCACAAGGTCTGTGGTGTGCACTTTGTGTGTCCCGGCAGAAGGGTGAAGAGACAGGGCACACGACTATGCGCGTCGTAGTACAGGTACCACCAAAGCACACCGGGGGCACCCAAGTCGTACGACGCACGGCAGAAACATGGTCTGACGGTTGTCCCACTCATGAAGATGAGCCTGATAGGACTCCCTCCAACATGTCAAATCGCATGGCCTGACACCCATCAATTCGGCCTGCTTGGTAGTCTCGTCTCGACGACTGACAACATGAACAGTATGCGTGGGACCGCGTCGTGTTGGCCCTGCGCCTGACATTTCTGTGCCAGGGCTGGCGACGTCGTTGAAATCTTGTGGTTTCAGTGCTGTTTGTACACGCTGTTTGTGCCTCCGTGACTCGAGGCGTTTATACCGGTCGAGTCGATATGGCACTGGAAGCCGTTTCGTCTGGTCATGATGATTTAAGGCTGCTTATGCTGACACGACCTGGTCTTATCGATGCTGTGAGTTCTTGTATTCATCCTCATCCTCACTGCGGAATTCCGTGCGGGATAGGGTGTAGGACCACAGGAAATGACCGAGGTGGCAGCATGCTCATGTGTCCTTTCACCCCTGTTAATATACACGGGTCGTCCCAGGAGTTCAATATGGGAATGGCCACTCATTTCTGCTTCGGGAAATATCTCGAGGAATGGGTTGCCTGCGTATCACAATGTTGGCGTCGTTGTCTGCTTTGAGTATGACGAAGTTGAGGGAGGATCTACTGTTAGAGGTGTCTCGCCATGTCGCCGAGTCTGCTTTTAAGTATCCTCCAGGATTGGCTATGGTTCTTTCATCACTTCATCGCCTTCTCCTTAGTCGTCAATTTTGCAGCAGCAACATCGAGGTGCCTTTGTTTGGGCTCGCAGAGAATGCCGGGGCCGCACCAGATTATCCGTGGCGGTCCATGAGCCCTGTGGCGTCTCATCATGTTGTGGATGAGCATCAACTACAATGTTCTAAATTCTGTCGCCTTACTATTGGAATGTTGACAAGCATCAACAAGTGTCTCCAGCCGTGTATGTCCAGGGCCTGCCAAGATGTTGTAATGCGGTATGCCGAATATCACGGTACTGTCTAACGTATCAGGATGTTCGTTGTGTTTTTCTCCAGCTGAGCATGATATCAATGGCTGTCGTTCTCATACTTGGATCTCAGAACAGTGCCTCCTCATTTCGTGAATGGCTTGGAAGGAAGCACCACTCGAAAGCATGTCGCAATTTGATGCCTGGTTGACGTGGTTCACGATTTTCGAGGTGAAATGTATCGGTTTCTCAAAATCCTCCCCATGCCCCTGTACGTATATCCCCACTTCAGACTTCTCATGTATGAACCAGAGTCTTGATGATTTGGAACTTTACATCAACCTCAGCAGGCATGATATGGGTGCCGAAGGGACTGGTGTTATCGAGACAGCAACACAAAGGTGCATGTCTTATGGGTTTACACCCAAACACGCTTGTTCTTTTTACTCAAGTTAAACTAGTTTATCCTTCCTCGAGCAGCCGTATCTCGTCGCACTCGCTTTCAGAATGTCAACTGCTGCATCTGTTGCCAGAGCAAACGAGAGATGTGATTACTGCAGTTGAGAGATCTTCAATAACCAAAGGTTCAACAGCTTTCAAAGCATGCGGTCACACAAGACAAGCTGAAAGCTTAAGGCCAGGCCTCGGATATCCAACGATCCGAGCAATTGCCCATCAACCGGCCGGTAGGGCTGGCCGCCGAGATAAACATGACCACCAAAGGTACAGCGGGAAGATCATACGCGCAGACACGGTCCCAGTCCGGCAAGACGACGCCACCTGCCTGTTAATCACGTCAAATCTCATGGGCTACCGCATTATTGGCGGGATCTGGGTAGATCCCGAGCTTATGAAGATCTACTGGTCTTGTAAGACATGGCGATATTAGCGAAACGCACAGATCATGAAGAAGCGAAGTGACAACCAGCGAGGAGAAACACAAGGTAGCGTTTGATACCGGATACAAATTTGGGGGGTAGTTTTCACTTCTTGAGTAAAGAAGCACGTCGTCTGGACAGAGGTTTGCTGTGTAGAACATCCCATCCCGCGGTAACGCCATCGCCAGCTCACAAACGCACCGCTTGCTCGGTCCCCATCTTACTTCCTCGGCAGTTGTCGCACGGGTTCAACTCTGCCGTGCGGAGGCGCATAGCGGAAATACAGTCGAGTCTTACCATGCTTGATCTGGCACGTCTGTGATTTATACGCATCGGTCACGGTGCCCATGGCCGCGACATCCAGACGGTTACCGGCATGAGCTCCTCATAAGGCGGATGCAAACACCGAGTTCCGCCACAAAGAGGTCCCGAAATATGAGGCGGCGATGCTTAGTGGTCGCGAGGGGTGGGCAAACGCGCCATGAGTGTGTCAAAGGCGCATCATGAAGAGGCTCGAGGGAGTGATGTTTGCTTGCTTCCTGGTCTCTTTCTCCACAAAGTTTGCGCACCGGGGCGTCAACTGACTCGCAAGGCCGTCTTCGTTCAGTAGGCCATGACGGATACCAGTACATGTATGCCCAGCGACATTCTTCGGTTTTCGGAGGGGCTTGACTCTGGTGATCGAAAAAAGCAAGCAAAGGGGCGCTCCCCTGCTGTTTGTTGGCAAGGTTTTGTTTTTCTGGATCATCAGTTGGCGCCACCGCTGTCAGCAGCGCGGGAGGGACGGAACGACGGGGCAGCAAACGCTAGACTCAAACGGCGAAGACTCTGGTTCAGGCAGCTTGCAAGGCAATCGAGGCAAGGTGACATATCATTC